ATGACACAGCCTGACGGTTTTCAAATTGCTGGTCAGTCTGCCAAAGTTTGTAAGCTGCAACGTTCAATCTACGGATTGAAACAAGCATCTCGGAGTTGGTACATACGTTTCGACGAAACCATTTCCAGTTTTGGTTTCAAGAAGAACTCTGACGAATCTTGTGTATACAAGAAGGTCATTGGGAGTGTAATAGTATTCTTAATCTTGTATGTCGATGACATATTGTTAATGGGTAACGATATTCCCGCTCTCACTTCTGTAAAGACGTGGTTGAGCGAGAACTTCTCCATGAAAGACTTAGGGGATGCTAGTTATGTCCTTGGCATAAGAATCTACCGAGATAGATCAAGAAAGTTAATAGGTCTGAATCAAAGTACATATATAGATAAAATCCTTGATCGATTTAGCATGTCTAACTCAAAGAAAGGATCTTTACCTATGACACCTGGCACGGTTCTTTCAAGAGCCAGAGTCCTTCTACTCCCGAGCAAAAGGAACTCATGATGAAGGTTCCATACGCCTCTGCGATTGGATCCATCATGTACGCCATGATATGTACTAGACCTGATGTCTCATTCGCTTTACTAAGGATGCATTCCTGGTATACGGTGGTGAGGAAGAGCTAAAGGTGGTCGGTTACACTGATGCTAGCTTCCAAACCGACAGAGACAATTCAAAATCACAAGTAGGATATTTGTTTTGCCTGAATGGTGGAGCTTTTAGTTGGAAGAGCTTTAAGGAGGATACAACCGCCGATTCGACTACAGAGGCTGAGTACATAGCTGCCGCCGAGGCAGCTAAAGAAGCTGTTTGGATCAAGAAGTTCATTACTGAACTTGGAGTGGTTCCTAGTATTAATGACCCTATCTCGTTGTTTAGCGACAACACTTGGGCCATTGCACAGGCAAAGGAACCGCGATCTCACCAGAAAACCAAACACATTGTACGACGCTATCACATCATACGAGAAATCGTAGATAGAGGAGATGTGATGATTTGCAAAGTAGATACTGACGAAAACATAGCCGATCCCTTGACCAAGCCTTTAGGAAAGCTAAAGCATGAGGGTCACACTAGGTCCATGGGCATTCGACCGATGCCAGATTGGCCATAGTGCAAGTGGGAGATTGTTGGAGTTGTGCCCTGATGGCCAACTGTTTATCATTATTCTATCATCTATAGGATGATATAATATGTTTACACATCTCATGCTAATGTAAACAAATATTATATTCCTAGATTTATATTTAAAGATGTTTATCAGATAGTGTTATTCTGCTGATGAGACTAACATCTTGAAATAAATATTTATCTGAATGTCCATAGTCGAGTATTAACGAGAGTGGGATATCGTTAATGCATGTGAGACTAGTGTGTGTTGGATGTTTGACTTAGTCTCAT